GTTGAGATGTTGGTCGCACGAACATTACCCCACAAGCTACAGGAACATTATATCTATATCCGCACCGCACTTCACTACAAGCACGCTTCTCTTTTCTTTCCAGGCATCCAATACCTGGTACTCATTGTTCGTTTCATCTTCCACGTTCTCTTCGTCGTCTTCGTCGATGAAACTCGAAAAGCTGAATTTTGTAAGCACATCGCGCTTTGTGTCAGCCGGAAAAACTCCCGCCTGAATGACTCGTTTAGCAGGATGTAGATAGCTGGGTTGATGGTGCTATTACTTTGGGATATCCAGAACGATATCAACTTGATCTCAATGGGAATGACCATCCAATTAGCTTGGTCGTAGAACATGTAATAGTGCATTATGTGAGCCGGTGCCGCGCAGGCAGCGAACACTATCACCAGGACAATAAGAAGACGTATGACTTTGCGCTTCTGTGTCACCGCCGACTTCCTTGTGGCTATGGTGCCATCCCTTGGAGTCGTTTTTCTCCACAACTTCCTGGCAATAAGTGTGTATAATACACTTATAAAAATCAATGGCAGGGCGTACAAGAAGATGAAGATAAACAAATAGTAAATGCGTTGTGATTGGTAGGTCGTTTCTATGTCGCCCCATTCCACGACACAGTAATGTTGTCCGTTGGTGTCCTGGGTCACAGTGTATGAAAACAAATACGGAGACGCTAGAGCCAAAGAAAACCCCCAAATGAGGGCTGTTAGAAACTTGGATCGTCTGAAAATAGAATTCCTAAGGAGATAGAAAACGGCACAGTAGCGCTCTATGGAGATACAGAGGATGGTTAGGATGGATGCGGCGATTGTGACTACATATGGGAAGTGCGCCAACTTACAGGCCATGTTTCCAGCTATCCCTCCAAACCATTTGTTCTGTATATACAGGAATCCTACGGATTGAGGCATCGCAAAGACTGTCACCAACAAATCTGCCAGTGCCATGTTCCCTATGAGGACGTTGGTACTGCAGAAGCTTTTCCTTGACCGCTTGATGACGATGAACAAGCCTAACCCGTTGCCTAGCAACCCGAGTATGAAAGCAATGGTATACGCTGATGTCATGACAGTCTTGGTGGTGAGAGGAATGCTGTACAGAGATGTGCCTGTCCTGGAGGTTGGGTCGTTAGACGCTGAAACGAAGGAATAACTCAGGTTAGCCTACTGTGATTGTATGTCCCTGCTTAGTCCCTTTAGTGCAGTTTTCGTATGACTGTGAAAAGTTCACGGCACGAACACGGTCGTGACACGGCAAGGCATACGCCAGACAAATCACATTGCACGAGAATTTACTCTTCATCCAATCAAATACCCGAAACACGGCATAAACACGGCGTGGACACAGTCACGCCAAGATCACGGCACTTTTAGATCAATCATATTGCGCGTGAAAAAAAATCAGCCAATTAAAATTCTAGAAAGTATCACGGTCACGGCACGTCACGCTTACGGCACTGAGCTTTTCACAGTCATACGAAAACTGCACTATGTTAAAGGATCGCAAGTAAATTGCGATCACTGTCCTAAGCGTTGGACCTTGGTTAAGCTACCACCCTCTAAATGCGGTCACTGCGTTAAGCGGTTGGTCATTCTTCATAATGCAGTCGGTCATTCTGTATATTGCAGTAACTATCGAGTCAGTACCGATACTTTTACAATTGTGCCTCTTTTAACGTTCGTTAATTTAGTGCCATCTGTAGTGCACCTTAGATGGCGCAATACCCATTTAAGATAAGATGTATACGCCGTACTGAACATTTTCATTGGGAGTGCCCTTTTCAAGCATAAAGACTTCCTCTTCTGTACAATAAGCCGTTCGAAAAGGTTCTTGAAAATACCATAAGTGGTTTAGTAAAAAAATATAGAAATTCGACGGGAAAAAAAAGAGAGGAACAGTCTGAAGTGGCCCATTACAGTACAAAACTCCCACGTAAGCTACTGGATAAATGATCTTACTGTATCGCTAAAAACAACTAGAAATTCCCCCGCTTATGGAAACCATAAACACATTTTTTTTTCAATTAAATGTAAGTTTGATCTTGCATGACGGCTTAGATATGATGACTTCGTTTAAGGAGACTCTCCCACACGGAATGAGATGTTTCTAGCGAGTGATTAATTGCTCCGTACTGAGAAGTAAGCAGTTGTGGCTAGAAGTGCTTTATAAAGTGTCTTGCTCATCACTAATTCTAAAAATGGTTTTTTGTCAATAAATTAGAAATCAAATTTTTAAAACGATATTTCGTTTGCGGTTTTATTCTTATTTATTTATACATTCATATATTTGTTGTTTATTTTGTAACGATGTCAAAAGGAGAGAAAAATTAAGGGGAAAAGAAAGAAAGAAAGAAAGAGAGAGAAAGAAAGGAAGGAAGGAAGAAAGATAGAAA